ATCCTTCCCAGCACCGCTTGTAGTGCACTGGTTGTCCTGCGCAGTCTTCAAAATTTTCCAGGGGTCCAGCGAGGACGAATTTGCAATGCGTCTCTCGGACCGTCGCCGTCGATCCCAAGACGAGAAGCTGCATGAAGAAAATAAACGGATTTGACGTGATGTCGACGCGAGGCAAGCCGACATGCCCACTCATGAAGTTGATGACCAAATAAAGGTAGCAAATATACGGTGAAATGTTTCTGTGTAAAACGCTCGAACAACAAATTATTTGTAGAACGTGCATATTTTTGTTGTCAAAAACAAGTTGCATGGTTTAGCTCTGCCAAAAATAGAGAGGTTATGAAGAAGAAAACGTCTGGGCGTGGCGCTTCAGGGTGGGTACACGTTCTTTCCAATAATATGCACTTGGTCAATATGCATCAATTGGAATGCCTAGGTGTTTTGGCGGAACACATCATTCTATACTTTGAAATTGGGTCGGTTTATATGTCCATGAGCTAAACCACAGTCCCAAGCGTTTAGCAAAGTTCATTCGTGCTCCGGAATTTTTTCTGAATTCTCCGATAGTTGACACCACCATTTTTATACAAGAAAGATGTTTGCAAAAGATCGCTAGGTCATTTGCATACGCCAATACCTTTACCTCATTCCCATAAGCACTGAAACCATGGACGTTATTCGATCGAATTACACTTGAGCCTAGTGGCTCTAAGTAAAAAGCATTAACGACAACTGACAGCCCTGTTTCACAGACGAGTCAAGAAACACGAGTTTTGAAAAAAATAGTCATTAACAATTAAATGGGTTGAACGTTCATTGTAGCATAGTTTTAAACCTTTAAAGAGACACTAAAGGCAACTATTAAGTCGATGTTGATTGTTGAAAGAGCGATCCAGAAACCTCTTTGTGTTACATTTGTGCCAAGGAAGGGCCTATTTTGAAATAAACTCACGTTTCAGTAGTCCGCATCGGGTTACCGCACTTCAAATTACCCGCCTCAAGAAGCGGACTGGCCGGACCGATTAACATCGCCGTTTTCGTGCAAAGTCGTCCGGCTTTACTGTGCTACTAGCACCAGACCGAAAGCAGTGGGAGCCACAGCAGCAACAACGGCTATTGATTAATTTCCCGCCATTGGCTTCGAGATCGCAGACGTTTTTTTTTTTTTGTTTCAACCGCGCCCCGCTAGATCGCACCACCTATCCCTTGTAACTACGCAAAAGTTTAATTTTTGAACCACTCGCGTCATTCCCCATAGTAATGTTCGGCGGTTCCTTTTTTTATGAATCAAACAGAAACGAACAAGCAGCATTTTATTGCGTCTCTTGATGCACGGAAGGTTCTTTATTTAGTGCAGCTAGATTGACTACTAGTGAATAATTGTAGGTGGTCCTTCTGATTTTATCGGGATCATTTTGAAAATGTCCTATGGTGGTGCTTGTGTTCTTGTGCACTTACTTTGATTTCTCGGTATGTAGGGCACTGTTGTTGATAATATTGTCGTTTTATATGTTGTCATACATTGAACTTTCACTCTAACGTAAATTGTTATTTGACTTTAGTGCCTTTTTTATATATAGTGGAGCCAACGTTGACATGTTAGAGAGTATCAAACGGAAAAGAATGGCGAGCCCAATCAAAGGCTCTCGCTAAGTCTACTAGTAGTATTGCCAGTTGTTCATATGAGTGTGAACTATGTTTCAATACTCTGCGAGCAATGTGTATATTAGTCTGTATTGAGCGTGACCTTTTCGACCGCACGACTGGTGGGCACTGATAAGTATTGACATTGTGAATTGAAGTCTGTTCGAAAGTACCTTTGCAGACATATTGTAGTCAACCTTGCACAATGTAATTGGTCTGTAGCCATCAACGTGACAATTTTTTTCTCTATCTGAACATTTTGGGATTAGAACCGTGTGGCTTATAATAAAAGAGCAAGGAAGCGTCTCCAGATTAAAACTTAGCGTGAAAATGTCGAGCAGTACAAGGCACAGTATAGATTAGAATGCTTTGTAAAACTCCTGTCGTTTTTTGACTATGGTAACTGCTCAACGGCAAGTTCTATTTCTTGTAGAGTGAATGACCCACTAATAGATTCACAATCCTTGGAAGTTGCAGGAGTCACAAATGACAAAAACTGCGTTACCAGATCTACGCTAGTGCTTGTGACTTGTTGGCACAACTTGCCTTATGAAGGATTGATGTCGGGAAATCATTCAGGTTAATACGACTTATAAAGCGTTTCAAAACAGCGAAAGAACAACCAGTCGTCACACAATGCGAATAACGTAACGAGTGGGCGGTCCAATGCTCCAAACCATTACAAAAACTTACAAAAGCTTGTTCTTGTTGCCCTATTAACTATGGCGCATACCCACTTCAGCCATAATTCCTCATCTTCGTCAGCCACTGCATGAACAATTGGCTCGAAATTTCTTGCAAGTGCTTAGCTATACCACGCTTCTCAGAAAAATGACGAAAATAGCATAATGAATGCCAGCCTACAACCCAAAAGTTTAATATTAATGCCCTAGGGGTATCAGAAAAGTGTGCTTGCAGTAGTTACCCAATGAGTGTTTTGAAAAGGGTCAGAAAGGCCGCTCTTCTAACTTTCACTGTGACTGTGCTGTGCCTTCCACGCAGGCCTGGCGGGTTTTTTTTTTTTTTGGAAAGGGTTTGATGACGTACGCGATGAGATCGTGGCATTATTATTGCGATAGTGTTAACAAGCTCGTTTCGCAGAAGTTCTGGCATTGGAGTCAACGTTGGTGTCGTTGGTTGTGAGCGAGAAATCATCATCTTACGCGTGATTGAAAAAAAATCACAGCACATCCGCGGAGTGAATGATGATGAGTGGGGCGAAGCGTCCACCAGCCCATCCGCGCTTCCGTCCGTCTGTTTTTGCTTTCTCCTGTCCATGCGTCCATCCATGCGTCCGTCCATCCGTCCGTTCATGTGTCCATCCATTTTTCGGTCCCTGCGTTTGTCCATGCGTTAATCCGTTCGTCCTTTCGTCAAAGAGAAAGACAGACAGATGATGGATGGATGCGTACAGTGGATGATTCACGGTTCACTCATAGAACCTTCCGAAGCTTCGCCCCACTCATCATCATTCCGTCCGTGCATGTGCTGTGTGGTGAATACTACATGTATGCATAGCTACAGGTGAGACCAAACCTCGCCTTAAAGAGCTTCGCCCCTAGTATTGGGAACGATGCTGAATGATAAAAAAATCCTGGGTCAAAGTGCGAACCGAACCATGGTTGTTTGGGTACGAGTTGGAATCGAACACGGGTAGCTTGCGTGGCAAGCCGTTGATCTGCCAGACGGCCACGTCACTGCTTGTGAACACAGTAACAAGAAGTTCCTCTACTTAGAAATACGGTAAAAGTAGCTTGCATGCTTTAGAAACACTCGTGTCCGGTATACGTGCTTCAGAATGCAACATGAAATATGGCAGTCATAATGCATGGTTCCCTTAAAATCGGGCGTTAAAACATGTCATTATCATAATGACTTCGTGGCTTAAAGCCGGTAACCCACTACAAAAGGCACACAAGCTTCTGTGCCTTATTCCTGAAGGCCACGTGGTGGGTGCAAGTTCGAAAAGACGTCATGCACTAAGTGTTTGAAGTACGCACTAGGAACAGGACATTGCTATCGCGTTCAACACGTAAAGACAAAGCTTTAGGGTCTCCTAATTTTTCCTGTCATTACCAGTGAGTAATATTTCACAAATCACCTCACCTTAACGTGCTAATTTGGTGTAACTCAAGGTAAAGGGGCCCTGCAACACTTGTTTACCCTGGTGAGAAAACGCTGCCAATCGATAGTAGAGGCTCCCGACAACACGCGAGCCAAATATTGTGCTATAATACTATAAATATTCTCCTTCTCGTAGCAATATTATAGCGCAGCACGTTATCTGAACTTCACAATAAATTATCAAAATCAGCTAAAACTTGCCTCTTCTGTCGACAAATCGGAAAAGACGCTCAAAAATCACTCGTAGAAAGCCAGCTCATCTATCAGCTATTGGCTTCTTTAACATGGCGTGTTCACTCGTTACAAAGATCGCCGTGGAAGACCACGACTTTTCCACGCGTGCTCGCGCGATCCCCCAGAAAAAGCCGCGGAAAAAAAAAGAGAGAAAAGGTGCTCAAGGTCCCGAGGCGTGCTTGACGTCTTTTCTGCCCCTGCCATCCTTCCCTGCTTAGCTCTTCCAGCACTTTCTTCGGGACGAGAGAAGATAGAATGCCATTGCAGCATGCGACAAGTCTTTGTAACTCCACTCGCACTGAACGACCTTTTCAGATTTTTTGTCGTGTTAAAACTGTGAGGAATTAAGCTCTTCCAGTTAATTATTTCCATCGTTACTTGACAAAGTGCTTCAGGGCTTCTTTAAGGTGGGGGTCGTGAGATCATCCAAACGTAAGTGCATAGATAGATAGATAGATAGATAGATAGATAGATAGATAGATAGATAGATAGATAGATAGATAGATAGATAGATAGATAGATAGATAGATAGATAGATAGATAGATAGATAGATAGATAGATAGATAGATAGATAGATAGATAGATAGATAGATAGATAGATAGATAGATAGATAGATAGATAGATAGATAGATAGATAGATAGATAGATAGATGCGAAAAGTGCTTCGTATGTAATAATATTAATAATAATAATAATAATATTAATGTTAGGACTTCATAGCCTCCCGAATTTGTTTATTTATTCACCGGTAGCCGAATATTTCCGTTGCTAACGGGCTTTGAGGATGCTCCTGCAGAACGGAAGCGCTGCTTTCATCTAGTGAGTGTAACGGTTTGTATTGCGCAGCTCGTACGAAGTGGTAGTAGTTGCAGCACTTAAATACATCAGAGTTGGAACTTTCGCTTGAAAGTTGCTTATATTATTTTTCGGCGCTCCATGCATGGAACATAATGGAAGGCAAGTAAACGATTCGCGCTGCGCTCTCTTTGCCCGCAGCCACCGTACATGTGCCTGTGCGAACAAGGTTGGACCAAGGGCTTTGGCCAGCCGTCCTGCTCCGTGGATGTAGACGAGTGCAGTACGGGTCACCATTTCTGCTCGAGAAACCCGCCCGTAGCCTGCATCAACTACCCGGGAGGCTTTCAATGTGCACCGTGCCCGAGTGGTAAGAGCTAGACTTAGTTGGTTCACCCTTTCCAGTACCTACAACTGTGGTTCTCAATCATAGTTGTACCGACGAGACCTTGAGGACCGCCGAAAGTGGTGGGGATTCTTTGCAGTTAGAAAAAAAAGGGAGGGGGGGTGATCGTGAATCAACATAACATTCAGCTGGAAATAGTAGGCCATTTATTTGTCCCCGCCAAGACCGGTCAAGCTGAAGTGCAACGCGAACTCTCTTCGTGTTGTCTGTCTTGTGTGCCTGTGTACACTCGCGCTGTAGCTCCCTGGCTGCAAATTAAACCAACTCATCCGAAAAAATGTTTGATGAACTTAATCTGAACAGCTTGTAAAAAACTTGCGGTATGTGCGGCCACTACATATTTATTTTTCGCTACATTTACTACCAAAACATGTCAGCCTGAAAAGAGTATCTTCTTGTACATATGCCATAGAGTAGTGTAACAGAAGCTTTACAGCCATAGTATGGAAAAAGCGGAAGATATGTCAGTGCTGCCACAATGTGTAAATGCTATGTGGTGAAGCACAGCATTAATCAGAATAGCGAGTGTTACAGCACATAATGTACCTAAAAAGCTATGTGTACCTAAAAAACTAAGTAGTTCTATGGTTTGAGCTAGCTGGTTCATAGTCATAGCACTCATTTTGAAAGCGCAGCGCATAGAAACGGGGAAAATAAAGACAGCATAGACGAAGAGCGCTGAACTAACAACTGATCTTTTATTGTCGTCATCCGGGCATAAATATATGCCAAAATAAAGAAAATACAATTTTGAAAAGGTTTAAAACAAGACAATATGGCTGATTTTAACAATTTAAAAAAATAAGAAATTGAAAACAATAAAAACATTTTTACAACAAAAACCACAAAAACGTCTGCGTGATGGGTGAGAAACACCAGGCTATGACGAAACAAGAAAACAGAGGACAACGACAATCAAAGAAAACCTCTAAGATGCATAATTTTTTCCGGACGAAGGTATAGAAGGCCTACTAGCGTATTTGTCACCTGCTTAATGAATGAAAAAAGCCTCAACAATCCCACGCTCTAGCTTGTCCCTCCCTATCTTTAAAAAGTGTGCTGCGAAAGTCGGGACAGAATCCGAAACGCCTGCAATGGTTCGCCAGATAATTACTAGTCGTATTACGTACATTAGGCCATGCTCTTTTGCCCTTTCATTAAAACACCTGCCAGTTCGCCCAATGTATTCGAGTCCGCAACGTAAAGAAATCTTATAAAATACATTGAAAATGCACTCAGTGAACCCGTTCCCATGTTTAGTTGTGCAGCCGGGGCGTTTCCTTCTGTTGGTCATGCCTCATAACTTCGAGAGTTTGCAAGGCATGGACAGTACAACTTGAACGCCATCCTTTGATGCAATTATCTTCAAGATATGCGTAATTTTGTGAACGTCTGGGATGACTTGCACGTGCTTAGTATTTTTTCTACCAAGTTTTTCTTTTGTTCGATCGCGTATAAAATTAACTCAGGTGATTATCTCAGCTGCTTCAGTCTGGTAACGTGTGCTTTGAAGCTAGAAAAAGTAGCATGTACACATACCTTGTTTAGGGCTAAGTGCACACAGTTCATTGAGATGCTTCGCTTAACAATCTTATAATGCACGTTCTCATGAGGTAAGAAAAGTTTCTTGTATCTAGGACTGTAGCTGCAACAGACATGGCGATCCTCAAAACACAAGCGAATGTAAAAAAATTGCAATGTTTGCTTTTCAGGCCTTCCATGCATGAATTTCAGGTCCTCATCTTCACTGTGAAGGAAACACCCGCAGGTCGCAGGATCAAATCGCGGATGCGGCGGCTGCATTTTCGATTGAGGTGAAAATGCTGTAGGCTCCGGTGCTTAGGTTCGGGCGCACGTTAATGAACCCCAGGTGGTCTAAATTTTTGGAGCCCTCAACTATGGCGTCTCCTATAAACATATGGTTGTTTTGAGACGTTACACCCCACATATCTATAAATCAAATTACATTGAAAGACATGCAGAACGTTTTAAATGACCATGTCAGGGTGTGCAACATCCTTGAAAACTACTAGAAAGCCATCAACATATCTAAGTATTTTACAATTTGCAGCGCTTGCAGTTTATCTTGAATACGACAACCAACAATGTATACGACAGGGCACAGTATGATAGTATGACCGCAGGACATGTTATAAACAGGGATTGGTGACTGGTGCTGCCGCCCAAGGTGCAGTATAAGCAGCCGGGTGTGCGGGCTGTGAGCGCGTGGTGTAGGGTGGTTGCGGGAGCCTACGTACAGCGTCTGCATATGTGAGCGGCGCGGCTACGGGCTGCATCTCTTGCGAAAAGGCGACAGGAGGAGCCACAGGCTACGTTGCTAGGTTAGGGGCGCGGCCACAGGCTGAACGGCTGGCGGATAGGCGACAGGAGCGCCTACCGGCTGTGCGACACCCGGGCAGTGACCACGGCTAGATAGAGGTGACTCGTAGTGCGCAAGAGGAACAGCTTGTGCAACCTCTTCCGATATAGCAGTGCGAAGCGGGGCAGGTAGACGGGTGGTGGTCTCGTGAGTAAAGGGCACTAGGGAAAGTTGGCGGGCGACTTCCTCACGGACGAAGGCTCGGACTTGCTGAAGCAATGGTGAATTGTCGGGCATGGAGTCGAAGCTGGACAGCGACTCACCACCAGGCTGAGGCTGCCTAGTCAGAGTGCGTTGCTTTTTCAACTCGTCGTAGCTCTGACACAAGCTGACGACTTCAGAAACTGTGCTTGGATTCCTTGCCAAGAGCATTTGAAATGCGCCGTCGTCGATGCCCTTCAGGATTTATTTATTTATTTATTCAGTTACCCTCAAGGCCCGAGGGCATTACAGAGGGGAGTGGGTACATACATACATGTACAGCATACAAAGCAAAATACAACAACAGAAAAATTGCAATCATCGCTTGCTACAGGGTTGAACTGAGGCTACGTACAAATAAAATTAGTGACGGCAATTTTAAATAAAGCAGCATCTTTTATACCAACAATATCACAAGGAAGATGATTCCAACATACAGATGTTTTTGGCACAAATGAATCATGAAAACACTTGGTGTGCGCTAAAGGAAGTCCTACTTTATGGCGATGATCAATGCGAGTGGAAACGTAAGTTGGTTGGGCCAAAAATCTGCTTCTGAGTCACGGATTGGTGAAGTAAATTTTATGGAATATACACAGCCGAGACACTTTCCTGCGAAGAGACAGTAGGGGTAATGCTAGTGTAGTTTTCATTGATGTGACGCTCGAGATGCGATGGTAATTTGAAAGGATGAAGCGCGCTGCCCGATTCTGCACTCGTTCTAATTCATAGATAAGCGAGTCATGACCAGGGTCCCAAACAGATGCTGCATATTCTAATCTGCTACGTACCAATACTTTGTAGAGTAAGAGTTTTAAGGAAACGGGTGCCTGATTAAAATTTCTTCGAAGGTAACCCAACGTGCTATTAGCTTTACCTGCAATATATTCAATGTGTGTCTTCCAAGACAATGTAGAAGTTATGTGGATACCTAGATACTTATAAGAATTTACAACTTCGAGAAGAACATTATTAATATGATACGACCTGATACTAGTGCTGTGTCGGTTAACATGCATGTACTTGCATTTGTTAACGTTTAACGCCATGCCCCAAGTCTCACACCATTCCTGAACCCGATCCATATCAGCCTGCAATTCTAGAACGTCTGAATGTCCCTTAATTGCCCGATAAATTACGCAGTCATCTGCGAAAAGACTCACTGAAGAAGTAATGTTTAGAGGCAAATCATTTATATAGACCAAAAAGAGCAATGGTCCCAACACGGAGCCCTGTGGGACCCCAGAGCCAACCGGGACCCTGGGCGAATCAAAGTTATTAACAGTTACAAATTGGGAACGGTTACTGAGAAAAGTAATCACCCACGCGAGGACGTTATCATCTATATTGAGGCTCCGTAATTTTAAAATGAGTAAATCATGAGGTACTTTGTCAAACGCTTTTGAGAAATCTAAAAAGATACAGTAAATGGGTGTGCCGTTGTCGTGAATAGAATGCAAATCATGTATAAAACATATTAGTTGCGTTTCACAGGAAAAGTTTTTAAGAAATCCATGCTGCGAGTCAGTAAAGAAAGAATTGCCCTCTAAAAATTTTACAAGCTGCGAATAAATTACGTGTTCCATTATTTTGCATGATATCGAAGTGATTGATACTGGTCTGTAATTTTCCGGACAAAGTTTATCACCTGACTTAAAGAATGGAATAATTCTTCCCACACTCCAATCATCCGGAAGACAGCCCGCTTCCAGAGATTGCTCAAATATTTTTGTTAAGATTATGGCGCTGTAGACCTTTTGACCTTGTCAGATTCGGGATTCATGATGTTTTTGACCTTGTCAGATTCGGGCATGGTGTCATTCACACGTCGACAAAGGTCGACGACGTCCTCAATATAGCTGGTAAAGGTCTCGCCAGTCTGCTGAGAGCGGACGCGCAAGCGCTGTTCTGCCCTCTGCTGGTGGACAGCCGGCCGACCGAACACTTCAGCACATGACGTCTTGAACACGCTCCATGTTGGGATGTTGTGTTTGTGGTTATAAAACCACAATTCGGCGACGCCAGTGAGATAAAATATCACGTGGCCCAGCTTGTCGGCTTCATCCCACTTATTGTTGGCGCTCACCAGTTCGTAGTGCTCGAGCCAGTCTTCGACGTCGGTCTCATCCGCACCGCTGAAGACCTTCGGCTATTGTAGCGGATGATGGCCAGGGCAGTTGAACTGGAGCGAAGGCGTCGATGTAGTGGTGTTGGCAGTCATGACAGGTGGTAGCGTGCGGCTTCGCAGCTCTAGGGTGTAGCAACGGGGATTAACAGCACCTTCCACCAAATGTGAGGAGGTTTATTAGCCGTTAAAAACAGCGACGAGACAGCGTGAAGAACCATCCAGTGATCAAGCCAGCAACGAACCGAAGCACGAGCC